TACATCTATCCATGTGAACCAACCATGCCTCATCTGCCAACCCCGAGTCAGAAATTAATAAATTTGGGTGTTGGAGCTCAACAATTATGAAAGGGCCCTCATATTTATCTCCAAACTTCTTAATATTTTCCATTTTCTTCACCAAAACCTTCTCTCCCTTCTCCCAATTTTTCTTATTAATTTTAATTTGTTGCTTTCTCATGATATCCATATTCCCCTGTAACCGGCATTTGACTTCTGATCTTACGAGTTCCAAATTTTCTACCAGATTTTTCACATATAAATTCATATCATTAAATTTTTCTTTTTCAATCCCAAGAGCAGCTTCCGTGGGTAGTTTAGGGGCGAATCCATGAATAACATAAAATGGAGAATTATTTATTTGTTGATTATACGAAGTATTATATGCGAAAATTGCTTGAGGCAATACGTCCACCCACTGTTTACCCTGTTCAGTGCAAGTAGCTATCATATCCGCTAATGTTCTATTAAAACGTTCAACCATTCCATTAGCTGATTGATGATAAGCGGTTGTAGGTTTGTGACAAAAATTCATTGCTTGCGCTAAGTCTGTAAACGTGGATGACATAAATTGCGTTCCTTGGTCCGTGACTACTAGTGAAGGTATTCCAAATCGACAAATAATTTCTTTCACAAATATCTCGGATATTGTGGAAGCGGTTTGATTCCGAATGGGCACAGCAATTGCCCATTTACTGAATGAGTCGACCGCAACAAAAATATATTGATGCCCTCGAAATGATTTCTGAATTGGACCCAACAGGTCCAAATGTACTCTATCGAAGGGTCTTGAAGCTGGTTCTATTGGACAAATCTCCTCTCTACTCAGGTGTACTCCCACGACCTTCCTCTTTTGACAAACTTCACAAATTCGAATTCTATCGGCGACATCCTTCGCTAATCCTTTCCAATGCATCGATCTCTTAATTTTCTCTAATGTACGATTAATTCCAAGGTGAGCTCCTTGCAGTGGATCCTCATGAAATTCATTAATTATTTTATTTTTTATTGCCTGGGGTATTAAAATCTTCCAATCATCTTTTATCTTTCCCCAAATAATTCCATTTATTTCCTTGATATTTTCTTCATTTTCTTGACGTTTTAATAAAATTTCATGATCACATTTTTGTGCTTTATTTAACTCATCAATCGAAATTTTCTTTTCAATTTCTATTGATTTAATTTCTATATCTGCCTCAGGCGGGTATCTCGAAAGATGATCTCCGACCTTATTAAATTTCCCTGGGCGATAAATAATATTCACATCAAAAGCTTGTAGTACAATCTGATAGCGAGCTAAACGTCCTTGGAGATCTTTTCTTCGAAATAGAGATGTCAAAGCGGAGTTGTCGGTAATTACTGTCGAAGTCCCCGCTCCTTCTAAATACACTCGAAATTGTTTTAGGGCGGATACCAAAGCTAAAGCTTCCAATTCCACTACACTATAATTCTTCTCATGTTTATTTAGTGTTCTGGAATAGAAAGCAATTGGATGAACTTCTTTTTTATTATTTTCTTGTAAAAGACATGCTCCAATGGCAATTCCACTCGCATCGGTTTCTAATATGAAAGGTTTTCCAAATTTCGTGCTGAATTCGATGTTCCAGCTCCAAAATTTCTTGGATTATTTATAGGAATTTTATTCGAATTAAAAGATCCAGCTCCTCGACATTGTCCCCATCTTACATTACCACGACCACGGTTATAATTTGCTCCTCTGCAATTGTTATAATATTGGAAATTATTTCTATTATTAGAGTATTGCTCCCGATTATAATTATTTCTTTGGTTCCAATTGCCCCGAGTATTGAAATTTCCTCTCCAATTATTAGTATAATTTCCCCGAAAAGGTTGTGCTGGCATGCGATGATTAACTTGGTCCTTAAGTTCATTTACCTGCGCTTTCACAGCGTTAACTTCAAGTATTGCCTTTTCAGATAATTTATTTTGGTATGACCTCATTCTATCTTCTTTCAGAGCATTTTGCACCTCCTCAATCTGTTTAGCTTGGTTAATAGTGTCTTCTAGTGTATCCGTTGTAATAAATGCCAATTTTTCCTTAATTTCCAATTTAATTCCATTTTTGAAATAGTCTTTAGCAAGGTCATCTCTCCAATCTTTAATTCTCTGAGTTCTCGCCTCTTCTGTCTCAAGAACAACTTTTTTAAAGGAATTTTCTGGAAAAGCCTTGTTTATTAGACCGCGAATAACCTGCGCAAATTCAATTATAGATTCATTAGATTTTTGTTTTCTGTTAGTCAACATCCTACGCGCTGATTCCTTTGTATTTAATTTCTTCAATTTTATTGCCAAGGCGTCTGTCAATACTTTCCACGTATTTTTAGATTCTGCGCCCAAAGAATCATATATCGCGCGAGCTTCCTCCAACAAATATAAAGGTAAAATCTGAGTGCAACGCGTCCCATTCCACTGATGCGCGGTGGCAATTTTATTGAATCTACGAAGGTAAGCCTCAAAATCCTCTATTCCCGAATAAAATTCTGGAAGAGGTAATCCTTCACGCATTCTATTTAATCCAAGTTTGGCGATTTCCTTTTCAAGTGCCGCGAGCTTTTGTTGTAATTCCCGCTCATTTAATTGGCCTTTTCTTAAAGGAGTTTTCCCTTCTTCATCAGCAGTGTGCATGTCATCATCAGTTCCAACTTCCTCCTCCATTTTATATTTAATATTTCAAAAATAATTTAAAATAATTTGAATGGCGTATTCCAATTAGATATTTCCACTTTATTCAATAATTATAATTAATTTAATTAATAATTCGAAGCCTGTATTTAAATAGATTTAGTTAAATAATTTTTATTTTATTATATGTTGTTAATTTTAAAATAAAATTTTTATGTTGTAGCTGTTGTTAAATAATGTGTTTCAATATAAGCTGTAGTTTAAAATATCTTTTTTCTGTTGTTAAATATATGTTGGTGTTAGAATAATTAATTACATAAACAATTTAAGATCCAAAATTAACTTTATAAAATTAATCCAATAGTCACAGCCATAATAAATTCTAATTAAATCACTCTTTTTTTTTTAAATTAAAACTATTTTAGTTTTAATAAACTCGTGGTCCGACACCAGATAACTCCGGCCGTAGTTAAAAGGTGTAAGAGCCACGTTAATTAATCTTTTATTTTTGTTGATCAACTAATTAATTTATTTTTTCTTTCCATTTTATTTTTGGGCCCATATGATTAACCAATTTTAGGTTTTGGTGTGATCTCTATTTTTAGAATTATTGGATGTTCTTTGGACTTCTTTTAATGTTAAAATTTGTATTTTGTGTTATGAGATTCTGACTATTAATTTTTAAATAATTCTGATTTTTGTATTTTGTTTTGAATTAATTCTGATTTTGTGTTAAAATTCCCATTTTTGTGTTTTATTTTAATTATAATTTTTAAGTGGAATTTGAAGAGGTTGACTGTCCCACGGACTTAAAATGTGCCCAACGTTGTTTTGGACCCGTGGAATGGAATGAGCCAATTATTTGTTCAAAAACTCGGCCTGTAGTTACAACTGAGGCGGAAGATAAACAAGAAAAACAATTCTCAAATACACTTCACTTTTATATAATTTACGCCCTCCTTGGTTTGATCCTAATTTCCATCCTTATTTTGGCTTATTTTGTCTCAAAACCTCGTCCAATAATTCACGGACGTACCATTCCCAAAACCACTCCAAATACCAATAAAACCAATAACCTTAAACCCAAACCGATTTTTATATCGGCAGTATAACTCCTTAATAAAGCAAATATTTTGTTAATTTAAAAATTAATTTGTTGAGATTATGTGCTTGTTGATCATTCAATTGTTAAAATAATTAATTTTAATACAATAAATAAATTTGTTGATTTAATTCAGGTATTGTTTAAACAATGTTAAAGTCTTGTGATTTTAAAATAATCCCTTAAACAATCAACAACCCAATAAAAGTAAACATTTTTTGAGTGGGAGTAATAACATTTGTTACACAGAAAGTACTAACATACTTGATCCAATGAAGTACAATCCCCAAAATTTAAAATTAAATCAAGACATTAAATGTCTATATTTTGAATAGAACTATTAAAATATGTTGTAATAAAATAATTATTAATAAGTTGAAATTTATAAGTTGGAATAATAAATTTAATAGATTGAAATAAAATATTGTTGAGAGTTGAATCCAGTTAGCGATACGGTCATTCTAGGACCTCCATATAATAGTAAAGTTTAATGGGGACTCGAACGTTGGGTCTCCGGTTCCCGAAAGGGAACCGGAGACGCGTTCGACGTCTTTTTTCTAAATTAAACCTCTACTTTTCTTTTTAACAAAATTTTATTCTTTTGGGAGTTTTTGATTAAACAATATAAGAATGAATTAAAGAAATCGTGGGTGAGGAAAAAATTTTAGTGACAGCTGTTCTTTTTCCTATCACAAATACTTTTTAAAAATAATAGTTAATTTAAAAAATTTAAATGCCAATTTTAATTAAAATTTTGCTACTTTTTGTTGCTAGTTTTCCTATGAAATTAGTTGAAGGAATGGAACACGGTAATATAGTTTTTCAATTTATTTGTTAAATGCTGCCTCAAATAATCCAGCAATATAGCAGAGGTGGGTCGGACAGTCCGAGGTGCGGAAATCGGTCGAGCCGGAAATCGGAACTGGCTTAAAAGTCGGAACTCGGAAATCGGAAATCAAAATTTTTTCGGAAATCGGAAGGAAAAAACGCCGGAAATTGGAAATCGGAATTCCGACCCACCTCTGCAATATAGTCAGTATTTGAAAGCTCCTCAAAAAATTTCGGCCTGATACGTATTAGTTTAAGGAATGTTTTCCTAGCCCTAAAATTCGGACGGTTGCTGTCAGTTCCAGGCTGTCTTCGTATTATTTAAAAATAAAAAACCTCTGATTTTTATTTTTTGTTAAACTTTTAATAAATTTTATTTAGAAATTTTTTTCAAAATTTCTATTTAATGTATATAGGAATTATGCGAAGCGGTCAAAAACGCCCTTTGATAGAACTACCTGACAACCGAACATTCTTTTGTTTGACAGAATTATCATTTCTGATAATTATTTTAACAAATACTACTGATGATGATTTATTTGGTGAGCCTGATAATGTGACACAAGTTAGAACAGTTTATGAAATTCTTAAACAAATTGGTAATGGAAAACTTGAAGAATTTGGACTTGAAAATGATCAAAATTTTGGACAAATTACTCCAAAATTAATTAATGTAAGGAGCTAGAATAAAAAAATCCCTCAAGAAGTGTATCAAGGATAATAAATTACAGGCGTTATTATATATCCGTTTGGTACCAAACTCGTACCAAAATTCGTATTTGTATTTGGCACGAAGTACGCGCAAAAGAGGTTATGCCAATGTAAGTAAGAAGCACGAGTTACGAGACCAAAAATAAGGGTGAATGGTACAATTACGAACAAAATCAAAATTTCCAAACACTGCTTTGGACAAAAAATCGTACCTCATGATGAGAGGTCAATGCTGCGGAAAATTTAATTAATAGAATCATCGAGGAAATGTACAATCGAGTGTGATTTCATTTTATTTAACTCAAATTTCTAACTCGATTTATGTATATATTAGAGGAATTCTGATACTAAAATCTCAGTTATTTAAAATGCAAATTTTCAGGTAATTGATTATTTTGAAAACAATCTTAATGAACATCAAGCAGCAATAAATGGGAGAATAAATCAGCTTATTGAAAATTATAACAATGCCTTGAATGAAGGGGATCAGGCAGTGGTTAACCAAATTCGAGAGGAGAAAATAAAGTTTATTATTGGAAGATTAAATGATTTTACTGAGTTAAAAACAGATGAGAATTACGAAGATTTTTTAGGACAATATGGACTTAGTAGGGAAATGGTCTCTAAAGATTACTTTATGGGATTAAGGTGAAAATTTTGATTAAAATAAATAAAAGTTAAAAGACGCTTAAGGTTAAAGATTTAACGAAAATTAAATTTTAATCGAGTCGGATTCCACTTATTTTTCAAAATCTAGTTGGCTAATTGGAGTGGGAAAATTTTTAGGCAACCTCCAGTCTCGTATGAATTTGAATTTAGTACCTATACGATTTTTATTATACCTATACGATTTTTATTGCATAAAATAGTGATGTCCGGACCAGTGATGGAGAAGTTCCGAAATTTCTCTTGAACCGGTTCCAGTTCTGGAACTTCTTTTTGAATTTCTTCAGTTCCAGTTCTGGAGTTCCAAAACGGTTCCAGACCTTTACTGATTCCACGGTTCCAGTTCCTGAACTGGACAGTTCCGGAACTGGAACTTGTCCATCACTTGTACGGACTTACTCAATAAAATTCCGACTGTACTCAATAAAATTGTAATATTAATTTAGTGACCAATTCATCGACCAATTTTTAAATGTTTTAAAAACACCCTCAATCGAAGAAAATAATTTATTTATTTTCTTCCATGTGCTTGCAATTACACGAACTCTTATCATGTTGTTTGTTAAATACAATGCAAACGAGTATAACAATCTCTTAAATTCAATGAATTTGAGGTCATTTTAAAATTTAAATGATAGAGGAAGCATAAGGATATCGGATTTTGGGAAATCCTCTGATATCCGTATTCGGTTCCCAGTCTGTGAATAAATTTCTATTAATTTAGTGAACAAATCTCTCTCGTGGAATATATAGAATCTTTAGACACGTTTGAAATTCATGCAAACAACAAATTCAATAAAATAAAGAAATTGCTAATTTATAAAAATATGGAGGTTATATTCGATCATCATGATGGTAAGCTTAATTGCCTGAATTAATTAACTATATTATTCGTCATAATTATTTAATATCGAATAATTACGGGTGACTATAATCAAAAAATTCGGTTTAGGAATGTATCCGAGAGCATTTTTCACAATAGAGAGAACTTGAAAGCCTAGAAGGTAATTCAGAATGTCATAGGTTGTGAATAATGACAGGCAAAATCGTATTTGCGGGATCCCGCATGCGGGAGTAACTTCTAAAAACGTCTGCGGGACGGGATCCCGCGGGAATAATTCCACAAGATCACGCACTCCCGCAAAATCTCGCAAATCGAAAAAAGTGCTGGATTGCGGGAACGGTGTCCCGCAAAATCCCGCGCGGGATCCCGTCCCGCGCCGGTCACTAGTTCTTAATTACCTGCCGGTGGCTAAACTTTTGGTGAACGCTTGTTCAAATAAAAATTTCCATTAGATATACACAATCCTTTTTTTAGAAGCCATTTATAATAGCATTGTTATAAGTTTGGAATATGTTGAGACAAGATTATTGGCTATTCCGCAACTATATTTTGAAATGAACGAAAATTATGAAAACATTAATAATTTTCAACCATACTTGAATTGTTGTGTATTTACATTCACAAGTAATTATAAATTAAAAATAAATTTAATAAATATAAAATAGGCCGTTAAAAATATTGTCGTTTCAATTAAAATTTAAGGAGCAATGTAGGGAATAAAACCAAACCATTCAGAGCTCGCGTCTTATAACTGAAAGTGAATTCCAGATATTGGGATGTAGATTCCAATTTATTCCTCCCTCGCTTTCCATAACTAGTTACCAGACTAGGACATGGATACGGATTTTGGTATCCGTATCCGGATATTTACGGCGGATACAGACGGATACTGGCGGATATCCGCAGGCATTTTGGTATTATCTGTATCCATATCCGTATCCATGACCATGTCTGCTAGTTACCGACCCTCTACTAGTAAACGAACCTCTCCCCCATCCCCTATTTGATAGCAATCTATCAAATATCATTCGAGTATACCTACCATGGATCCTGCCGACAAAAAACCGAAATTCCCGAAAAAAATGGAATTCCCGATTTAGGGAAATCGGGACGGCAGGATCCCTGATACCTATCATCACCCTAAGACTTTTATTTTTTCAATTAATGTTTAGAGATGTTACTTTAGAATTGAGACATAAAAAATAGCTTTAAAAATTTTATCAACAATATCACATTTAATTTAAATTAGCATTCGCTGATCAAAATAAAATACTCACTCCTGATGAATTCGCAATGATAGCACCTTACCGCATTAATCTATTTACCAATTTATACAATTTATATTTTCTTTATTATTTCTCTAATATTCAACAAAATCTTAAATCAAAAATAGAAGAACATTATATTAATCCTCAATTGATAGCAACACATTTTATTTATAACCCAGATATTACGGATTTGATAAAAAGCGCAGATGGGGAAATTTCAATTCCATCATTAACTCGTTTTGTAATCTTTTTTTGTTTATTTTCGTTTTTCTTAATTTTGGAAAAATCTAAAAATTAATTTCTCGGCAATCTCTCACTTATATTATATGTACATTAAACTGTCAGACGTCCTCGACTTTAAAAATTAGCTAGAATTTTATTTGAGGTACCTATTTGTTTTAACAATTAAGGTATATATTCGTGTCGGACCTGGCATTGGGGGAACTAGTCAACCAGCAGGCGAAGGAACTAGTCAACAAGCTGGCGAAGGAACTAGTCAACAAGCTGGCGAAGGGACTAGTCAACAAGCCGCTGAAAGTAACAGTACTGGAGCAAGCCGACGTCGCCGTCGGAATGGAAATGGAAACGGGATTGGTAACGGAGATGGAAATGGCAACAGAAGTGGCAGACGTCCTCGACGTGGGAGGGGAAATGGAAATGGTGAAGGTGGTAAATGAAAAAGTTGAGGAAATTTTTAAAGTTGAAAATAACGCCGAAATCGTAGCAATTTGTGTAATTATTTAAATGTTAATTTTTATTGTTTATTGGGTCCCATTAGAAAGTGGTGACTTTCGGGATAGTATACCGTATTTCCTATATTAAAGCCCCACCCTCTGTTAGAGCCCCACCCTCTAATACAGCCCCACTTTGGAGGATAGTTGAAAAATGGAGCCCAATGGGGCTCTAATATAGGAAATACGGTTTTTGCTTTTACCTTTCACTGTCAATGATACCAGGAGCCTAAATTGTTCAATAAATCAAGCAATAATTAAGGATGTTACCAGGATTAGAGGCTTTGTTTTAACACCCCTCCAATGGAAAACTGCAACGTTACATCATAAAAACGCAATGCATTTCTTAACCTTTTGAAATGCTAGTCCTTAAAATACCCTTTTGTTATTTTAAGTCAATTATTGCTGATAACCCTTATGTAATAGTTTATAATTTTTTATTATTTAAATAGTTTTATAGAAAAAACGTAAAATTTAGCCATTTCTTTCAATTATTTTATAAAATTTTATTAAAAAACATTCTTAAATAATTACCGTGTTTCCTGTATTATAGCCCCCCCTCATTAATATATCCCCCGTTTGGAGGACTGTTGAAAAATAGAACCCATGGGGCTCTAATACAGTAAATACGGTATTTTAAATTTATTCTATACATACAGTCACGGACAAAAGTTTGGACGCAAACGATTTTCAAACTTTTTTTTCGAATATTTCTATTATGTAAAATCAACAATTTAAAAAACAAATTTTTTGTAAAATAATGCTCCTTTTATGAACTTTAATATACATCAACAAAATACTGGAAAATTTTATAAAAAATTTTTTTTGATATTTAACCAAAAAAGGGGGTGGACAAAAGTTTGGACGCAAATTTTTAATAAAAAATATCTTACAGTATAATGGTCCAAAAAATCTACAAAAATTTCTTTGAACATCTCCATTGATGTTGAGTAGAAAAGAAAAAAGAATGAAGTCAGAAACTTCTTTTTTCATCGAATCTCGAATGTCAAAAATCAACGGAAAATGGGGGTACAGTACTTTAAAAAATATTTTTACCCACTAGAGCTTTTATAAAAAATTTTCTTATGGGCCCATTAAAAAGCCCATAAAATTTCCTACAAAATAGTCCTGGTCTCATTTATTCTAAAAAATGGTTCTTCGAACTGCGGACACTTTTACATAAAAATGGTCAGTAAACCCCTAAAATACCCCAATAATGATAACATAGAAAATTGCCACGACTCTGTCTCCATGAGTTTTTATTGGAAAAGTAAAAACTTGTAATATTTTGTAGCAAATTTTATGGGCTTTTTAATGGGCCTAAAAGAAAAGTTTTTATAAAAGCTCTAGGGGGTAAAAATATTTTTTAAAGTACTGTACCCCCATTTTCCGTTGATTTTTGACATTCGAGATTCGATGAAAAAAGAAGTTTCTGACTTCATTCTTTTTTCTTTTCTTTGCGTCCAAACTTTTGTCCGTGACTGTATTTCTTTAAAAAATAGTTTAAATTATTAGTTTAAATTATTTTTTTCTTTAGAAAATATCCTCTCGATGGACATTTTAAAAATAATATTATTTTTATTATTTTTCCCCAACTGAATCAACATTTCCCCAACTGAATCAACATTATTGTTTAACTCCCGTCATAGAGCTCTGACTAATTTTGAAAGAATAATAACAAGTCAAATAGTAAATAAAATAGAAAATATTGGGTTTAATGGCTATAGAGAGGAAAATTATGGAAGTAAACAAACATAAAAGTTCTTCAATTTTGGGGCAAAACATGAATAAAGGAAAAATTCCTGAAGCCTTGTAATTAAGTGAAAGATCAAGATATGACTAGAGACTAGGATCAGGTTTCAATAAATGACCTGACTATATTAGTAATATACTTTTAAATCAAAAAATTCTTGATGTTATTTAATAAAAAGTTTATTCAATCTTACAAAAAATGTCGATTAAAGTTCGAACTCGATTATTCAAAAATTATTTTAAATAATTCGATAAAAATTATCGAATATTCGATCGAAGTCCGAATAATATATAAATTTCAATAGATTTAAGGGATTAAAGGGGATTTGGAGTGATTATGTGGGTTATAGGTTGATGATTTGAGGTATTATGAGTAGAGAGATTAAGAGTAGGATTAAGAGGATGTAGGTGATAGCCCTCATAGCCTCATAGCCCTTAATCCGTTTATAATAAATCCTCAGTATCGCTCTCCCTTTTAATCATTCGAAATCCCTCTTAATCTTTCAAAATCATCTGTAATCTCCTTCCAACTTATATAAAAAATCAAAACACATTATCGATAAGCATACAAAAATATAAAAATTATCTCTTTGTCGGCATTAATTCTTTTTGTCGGGGTTAAATTAGAAAATAATGTCTTAAAAGCGACTCTAAATTGCCGACCTTCATAACCTTTTCACATGCTTAATTAACTCTAAAGAGTGACATTAAGGTTAACGGCATTTTTTATTTCATCATCTCTTTTTTATATTTATATTTTTTTATGTTTCTACACTCATTTATGGCGCAAACGCAATTCAAGGATGTTTTGCAGCCTTGGGTCTAAGGTTAAACTGAATCCTTCAGCAGAATTCATCCCCCTCCATAAGGCTAAAGGTTTGCAAGGTTGGTGCGCAGTCAATTTACCCGGTTTAACTCTTCTCAATTATGAGTAAAGTAGACGAGGTCGAGGTTTTTTGAAAAAACCGAGCCAAGGATCACCGAGGCTGGAAAAGCCGAGATCGAGGGGCTGATATGGACCCGAAACCGTAGATAACCGAGGTTTTTATAAAAATTTTATGACTTCTAAAAATCTACTTAAATTTGATAAACCATTTTACCTTTAACTTCTTATAATAAATGATAATAAAATCTATTTTGTAGGAAAGTTTATGCTTTATAATCTAAAAGTTTTAAATCGACCCGACAATCACTTGGAGAAAATCTCACCCCAAGTGGTGCGAACTTTTATTAAAATTCGCCCACTTAGCCTTCAACTTTTTATAATAAATAGACAAAAATAAATAAACAAAATTTGCTAATAACGCCCAAAAATATACAAATTTAGCCTTTTGTCGGCATTAAATTTAAAAAATAATAAATTAAAAACAACCTAAATTGCCGGCATTTCTTTATTCTTTTCACATGCCCTTATTTAATGTTAATTTATTTATTTTTATTTTTAATTTGAATTCATTTTTTTAAAAATAATTTTTATCAGACAAAATTTAATTAAAAAATATTTAATTAAAAAATTAAATGTCAATTGTTTTCATTTTTCTTTTGTTATTTTTTGTTGCTAGTTTTCCTATTAAACTTGCTGAAGGGATGGATTTTGGTGAACAAGCTTTTAAATTAATTGTTAAATATGCCTCAAAGAATAAGAGGGGGTCTGGCTCCAAAAATCGAGCTTAATTTATTTTTAATTGAGGGCGCGAGAGGTCGCGACCCCCAACTCGTAGCTCTTTAAAAAATTGACCATCGCGCTCTTATGGCCAAAAAACGTCCGGATCCCGTAATTGACGGTTGTGTTACTGACAGATGAATGCGGTTATGGGTGTCATTAAAAATTTACCAGTGTGAGGTTCTGGCTCACAGATTTACTAATTTATATTTTTAAATGGTTAATAAATTTATTTAAATATACATAAATAGGATCTATGCGAAGTGGTCAAAAACAACCTTTGATAGAACCACCTGACAACCGGACATTCTTTTGTTTGACAGAATTATCATTTCTGATTATTATTTTGATAAATACAAAAGATGACGAGTTATTTGGCTTTTATGAGACTGATGGCGATGATATCAAAACTGTCCCAGTTTATGCTCTTTTTGAACGAATTGGTGAAGAAAAACTCGGATACTTTCAGCGTGAAGTGCATCTCCAAAATTACCAAATTCAAAACCTTAGACAAATTACTCGTAAAATAAGTAATGTAAGGATTTTGTATAATAAAACTACCGAGTAAGACGAATGAGGAAGATTAAGTAAGAGCGAGGTAAAAGTTTAATCCCGGACAGGCTTCGATCCTGCGACCTCCTGCATTTATTGCTAGGCGCTTCCGCTCACCACGTACAGGTGCTCTACCAACTGAGCTACCGGGGCCTGCTTTCACCTTCTATTTTAATATATCTTAAACCCCCGCCTAGTGAGCGTTTTAAATGCTAGCCAGCTGGATCTTTCTCTTCCTTACAATTAGTCCTTTTTCTGTAAAGAGTACCGTTTCGGTACAAAGTACCGTAATCTTTGTTAAAATAATATTAAAATTTCGGTCTCAAATCGAAGCTAAACTGAGAATTTTCAGGCAATTAATTATTCTGAAGAGAAGCTTACTGAACATCGAACGGCAATAAATGAAAGAATAAACCAGCTTATTGAAAATTATAATAAAGCAATAAATGCAGGGGATCATGTAAAGGTTAACCAAATTCGGGAGGAGAAAATAAAGTTTATTATTGGAAGATTAAATGATTTTACTAAGCTAAAAACAGTTGTTGATTACAACTCATTTTTACTACAATATGGCCTTAGTAGGGAAATGGTCAATGAAAATTTCTTTATGGGATTTAGGTGAGATTTTGATTAAAAATAATTAAAGGCTAATGTAAGAATGAACTAACGTGGACAGTCTCAAACTAACGTGGACAGTCTTATATTTATAATCTATATTTTTTAAAATCTGGTTAGCCACAGGGTGAAGGGAGCTTCCTAGGCAATGCACCTAGTATTCTGTAAAAGTCATTTTAGTGTACGACCTTTCAGAACCAAAAATCTAGATACAAATAAGGGAGGTCCGACTTTAACATTGTAATATTAATTTAGTGATCAACTGCACGATCTACTTTTAGAAGATTTAAAAACACCATCAATTGAAGAAAATAATTTATTTATTTTCTTCCATGTGCTTGCAATTACACGAACTCTTATAGTGTTGTTTGTTAGATCCGATTTAAATGTTTATTTCAATCTCTTAAATCAGATCAACCGTTTGAGAGAGCAAGAGCAACAAACGCAAGGAACTCCATTAAAAAGGTTTGCAGTGTTTACTGAGAATGTTGGAGTTGTATTCAACAGTGTTTGGAGTGGGGTGTTTAGCAATTGAGACACCGGATCGGGGTTTTGGGCCCGGGTTCAAGTTTTGGCTGCGAAGCTTGCAATGAAAAAATTGCTCGATTAATTTTTTGTTCGTATCTTAGAAAATGTTTTAAACTTGGAAAATAGGTTTAGAAAAAAATAGAGGTTAGCCCCCAGTTTGTGAATAAATTTCTATTAATTTAGAGAACAAATCTCTATCGTGGAATATATAGAATCTTTCGACACTTTTGAAATATATGCAAACAACAAATTTAATAAAATAAAAGAATTGTTAATTTATAAAAATGTGGAAGTTATTTTTGATAATCATACTGGTAAGCTTAATTAGCCATATTGACTAGCAGAATATATTTTTTTATTAATTATAAAGGACTCTTAATTATTTAGAGACGGGGTATTAGAGACGGGGTTAAAGAGAAAAGGGGCAGAAGTTGTTATCCTGTGCTCAATGTCTGACCTACATAATCCTTATTTCTTTCAGAAGTTATGAATGATCTTATTATGAGTTTGGAATATGTTGAAACCGGATTATCGGGTCGAATATATTTTGAAAGGAATCGAAATTATGAAAATATTTATAATTTTCAACCATACTTGAATTGCTGTGTATTTACATTCACAAGTAATTATAACATAATAAATAAATTCATTAATTATGAAAAATAGGCATATATTAAGCTTCTCTTTACACCTAGTGGGTTCTATATATCAAACCAAAACCTTTGTCAAAACAGAGCTTGTGTCCTTTGTCAGAAACTGTATTCCCTAATAGTACATGACTTATTTGTTAGTGAGACTTAGAGTTCACTCTACATAGTCCCAACGATCCCCCATCTCCCTCTAGTGTAGTACTATGTGATAAATGTAAAGCTTTTTGATAAATGATTACGAAAATACCTAGTTTCAGAGCCCTTGACCATCGAATAACAACCCTATTTGATAGACATCACAATTACTTTACATTTATAAAATAGCACAAGGAAAGTTACACCTCGGAACATTTGATATATAGATCCGAAGTTCGGATCTATATATCAAATGTTCCGAGGTGTAACTTTCCTTGTATTTAAGACAGAATTATTTAAAAATTTTATCAAAAAATAAATTCACATTTAATTTAAATTAGAATATGATCATCCAATGATCCAGCTCACTCCTGATGAATTCGCAATAATTAGGCCTCACCGCAACAACGAGTATCACAATTACTACCACATATATTCTCTTTATTATGCCTCTGATATTGATCAAAATCTTAAATCAAAAATAGAAGAACACTATATTAATCCTCAATTAATAGCAGAAAATTATTTTACTTATGACCCAGATAATACGGCGATGAGAAAAATCATTCAACATGGAATCACAATTACAATTCCTTCAATTCACCGATGGGTAATCCTTCTTTTTACATCCGTTATTATATGTTTATTTTTGTTTTCCCTCTATTAAGAGATATACTCTCACTTATATACATTAAACTTAATAATTCCCACATTCACTTCAAAAATTACTTTAAATTTTATTTGAGTTACCTAATTTGTTTTAACAATTAAGGTAAATATTCCTGGCGGACCTGAAATTGGGGAAAGTAGTCAACAAGCTGGCGAAGGAACTGGTCAACAGGCTGGTGAAGGAACTGGTCAACAAGCAGTCGAAGGAACTGGTCAACAGGCTGGTGAAGAAACTAGTCAACAAGCTGCTGAAAGTAACAGTACTGGAGCAAGCCGACGTCGCCGTCGAAACGGAAATGGAAACGGAAATGTTAACGGAGATGGAAATGGCAACAGAAGTGGCAGACGTCCTCGACGTGGAAGGGGAAATGGAAATGGTGAAGGTGGTAAATGAAAGTTTGATGAAAGTATTTAATGTTGAGAATAACTCCTAAATCGTAGTCATTTAGTTATTTAAATGTTAATTTTTATTATTTATTTATTATTAGCCTTTAGTTTGAAGGTAATTTTCGGGATAGTTTATTAATCTTTTACCTTTTACTGTCAATGACTCCTGTAGCCTAAATCGTTCAATAAATCAAGCAAGATTTAGGGATGTTACCGTATCCCCCTCATATGGAAAACTAGAGGTGGGCCGGGGGACCCCGGTTTCCAGGAAAACTTCAAAGTTACATCATAAAAATGCAATGCATTTCTTAACCTTTTTTCACGTTTAAGTCCTTAAATTGCACTTTTGTTATTTATTAAAATAGTGGACAATTTAAAAGTTAAAAACACATGATTAAGTCAATTAGTGCATGATAACCCTTATGTAATTTTTAGAATAAAAAGAAAATAAAATTTAGTCATTTCTTTCAATATGTTATTAAATTTAATTAAATATATTTTTGAAAATAATTATTTTAAATTTATTTTAATACATATTTCTTTAAAAAATAAAGCTTAAATTATTTTTCTTCCCTTAAAAATCTAGACAATCCTTTCAATGGACATTTTTAAAATATTAGTATTTTTATTTATTTTTCCAACTGAATCAACATTATTGTTTAACTTCCGTCATAAAGCTCTGACTAATTTTGGAAGAATAATAACTAGTCAAATAATAAATAAAATGGAAAATCTTGGGGAAAATAAATTAAATAAAAATGTAAAAAATTTGAGTTTTTTGGCTAAAAAAGAAAGGAAAATTGTGGAAGTAAACAAAGATAAAAGCTCCTCAATTTTGGGACAAAATTTGAATAATGGATTAATTGAAGGAATTAAATCCTCGTCATTTTCAACTCTCACAAGAATGAATTATTCAAAAGAAAATGGTTTTATTTATTATTCATGCAGTCGGAACTCCTATAGAGAAAAATACAGGGGAAAATATCCTCCTATTGATATTAGTGTTATTCAAACGCGATTTTTCGGTATCGGTATTTTCGGTAAAATACCGATACCGAAAAAATACCGATTTTTTAAAAATTGTTCGGTACCGTATTCGGTATCGGTATTTCGGTAAAAATACCGTGGTATTACCGAAAAATACCGCGGTAATACGGTACCGTGAATAACACTAATAGATATACCCTTGGTGTTGTCTAATATTAAAGAATAATCTTCTCAATACGTCTAAAATCGTCAAAATCCTGATTTAGTCCCGAAGGGTATTTTAGCTTGATTTAACATCCGATCACATCTCACTCTCATTCATGCGTTGTTCAATCCGGTCGCAGATCACTAGCGGTATCTTAAACAGGAGATATCGCAATGTAGTTCCACACTACGTTAGCAAATCCTAATATTCGGATCCAAATTAAGGGTGATCTGAAATTTTTGGTCTGAATATCGGATCCGGATATCCGTAGATAACCTATGCTCCTTCAACCATACTACCCAGTCAGCAATAATTATTTTAAATATGTCACAGTCAACTTAAAATAATTTATTTTTTTATTTTACAAGATTTTGAATTTGATCAAAACAATTTAAAAACTTCAATAGATACTTTATTAGAAGAAATTAAAATTTATTCAAAATCTTTTTTCGATGATTATTCTAATAATTCTATTAGAAGAAGTACACAAATAGTTTCTGCACCAGAGTTGCGTCGTAATTACGAATTACGATTACGAATTACGAATTACGGTGTTTTTTCAGTTACGAATTACGATTACGAAAAAATTTTTTAAATTACGAATTACGAATTACGATTACGAAAATATAGGGAAAAATTACGAATTACGAAAATAATTTTGCCATTAAATTTTAGAATGAGAAGGGGAAGAAATATTTGAAATATTTATATTTTTTCTCGTAGTTACATTTGTTTATCGGTGGTTGAGTGGGTTAAAAGTCAAGCTCCACTCATTTGATATTTTGTGACTTGGATAGGATTTATCATTAGGATTAAGTGACTTGGAGGGATTAATGGTAACAGGAGCAATTATTAATAGATATTTGATTTTTTAAGATAATTTAAATATTTTTAAAAAATTACGAATTACGATTACGAATTACGAATTACGGCATTTTTTCAGTTACGAATTACGATTACGAAAAATTTTTTTCAATTACGAATTACGAATTACGATTACGAAAATTTTTTAAAAATTACGAATTACGAATTACGATTCCGAAATTTTTTTGAAAATTACGAATTACGAATTACGATTACGAAAAAAATTTTTCAATTACGACGCAACTCTGTTCTGCACGAACAATTTATGGATCTCATTTTTATGATAAATTACCAATTCCAAAACTTTCAGAAATAAATGGAAAAAATGTTTCTGAAAAATTATTTAAGGCATTTTTAAATGAATGGAATAAAATTAGAGAAATGTTAGGAAAAGGAAGAATTGAAGGTTATTTTATAATTCTTAAAATTGAGAGGACTCGAAACAGGGACTTTTTTCAACTCGGACCCCGACCCGAATAAAATTGTGAAAGTCTATTTCGGCCCTAGCTCCAGCTTTTTTCTCAATTCGACCTATCATTAGTACACTTTTCAACACATATTTACACGTAGTCCCCCAGTGAGTAGGGGGTGGGGGGACCCCCACGCAGACCCCCAGTCCCAATTGATTATCTATTAATGAGGCCTGACAGCACTAATGAAATTTTTAATAAAAATATTAATTTAGTAATTCACCCCGAAGAATTAAGCGAAACTGCAAAAGCTGCTGACAAACAAATGGAAATAAACTTGTCTAAACATTTGCCTCAAAAATTATTTTTAAATTTTAATTCAAATTTTGCTGATATTTTTGTTAAAAATAATTTTTCTGATATTTTTTACAAAGATGATGAAATAATTGAAGAAATAATTGAATCTATTAATAATTTATTAATTTATTTGGATAAGGTATAAAATTAATTAAAGGAAAAATAATTTTTAGTAATAATTAGGGTTGAACGGGATCGTGATCTTGATCTAAAATTGGGATCGTGATATATCTTTCGGTCTCGGGAACAGAAAAATCGGGACCGGGATTCAAAAAACCAGGATTATCCCGGCCAATCTAGACCGGGATTCCGATCCCGCTCAACTCTGTTAATACGTTGCGCGCCTTACGACCTGGGACATCCGGATCTCAAGTCCGAACTGAAAATTTCTGGAAATCCAGACTTATTCCGATCCTGATAGCTTGATCCATCAACCTTAGCAGATAATCAAAACTGCTACTGTTTAATTTTTAAAATTTAATTTTCTAATTTTTTAGAATCTTGAAGACACTATAAATTCAATTAATCAAGAGTTTAATAAAAATAAAGAAATGTTAGTAAATAAACAGAATCGTAAAAATAAAATTCGAAAAGATTTAATTAATCAAATAAATTTGTTTTATACAAGAATGATTTTATTAAAATTAATTTTGGAGGCTAAACTGGCTTTGAATAATTCAGAATGGGAAGAATTGGAAAAGGTTAAGATATAAAGTTATCCAAGTTTATTTCTCTCGGATACACCCCAACGTACCGCGAGCTCAACTTCACTCTAGATTGTCGAATCCGGGCCGCCCTGATATTGTCAGATTCAGCTCGCCGAGTTGTATCAAATCCCATTTCCCACTTATTTATGTTAATATCTGAGCTAGAAAAGCTAACACAAATACCCCTCAGTTGATAACCTTTTAGTTAAATTTGGGTGAAGGGTTAGTGAATAAGACCATTTCTTCGGGGTTTCTTGTTTTTCTGGCTTATCAATCTGGTACTAAATTATAGATAAACTGAAATACATTGAAAAAATCATTTGTAACAATTTTAAAAATTTAAAAGATTCGTCAAAAATCAAAATCTCTCCATTCCCGTTTACAACAAATGTCAAAAATATTAGCCTATCTCGAAACGATAATTAATTCTGCAAATGAAGAAGCTCAACTTTACAATAATAATCGAATTAAAAAACAAATAAAATCAAAAATTATAAACAAATATTTGGTAGAGGTTATTGAAATGGAATTATTTTCCTTATTTCCCAATAATTTTTTGAATGAGAATTGGGCAAGAAGAATAAATTTAAAAACCGGAAATGAAGATTTGAAGATATTTACGAACAAACAATTTATTTTTGATGATTTGGAAAGTGTTTTGGATAAAAAATTGTTGGAAGAAATATCCGCTTTAATTGTTTTTTATGCTCCGAAAATTTGAAAAAAATTAATTAAATGAAGAAAATGATGATTTTTGTAATATAAAAATATGTAATATATTGTAGAAGAGATTGAACCGAGAAGAGATTTTGAACAATCAGTTATCGTAATTTTTGTGCGAAAAAAATCCGATAAAAAATATTGAGCCGCACACTAATATTTAATCTATACATTATTATTTTAATTACTGAAAAATCACTGTTAGACTTTAGAAGATTTTGAATAAAATTTCAAGAAAAATTACTAAGATTTAATTTCATAAAGTAGTTACACATCTCAACAAAACAAGGAGGATCAAAGAGATTTGAAGAAATATAGTATGTTGACTAAAGGAGAATCCGTCCAAATCTCCTGATATCTCCCATTATTTCCCTCAAATTAATAATCCCTCAATACTTACTCCGTCAAATTATTTACATCCCTTTAAACCACCCTTAATCCCTCTATATCCTTATATCCCCAGATTAACAGAAAAATTTTTTTAACTTTCTTCCAGTTAATTCAAAGAAAATTATTGAATTTTAAAAAGAGAAAAATTACATTTGAAAAAATATAAAGCTATCCAAACTTTATATTTTATTGAATTAAATATTTTAATAAATGTTTGTATTGAGCGAGAGTCAGGTAATAAAAAAACTTAGATTTGCTGCCAACATATAATTTAAAGTTTGAGTAAAAGTCTATATTAAATTTTATTGATAAAATTTATTTTAAATTAAAAATGTATTTTTATTTAATAAATTTATTTATTTTAATTAAATTAATTAATTCCCAAGATTTATTTACATCGTCTGCGGAATTACAACAATTAGTACATGTAGAAAAAGAAATTCCAAAAATTATAGAAAATTATATTGTGTTGGAAAATAAACGTTTGGAAAATTTAAAAATGTATTTTTTAAAATTAATATTTCAATTTGTAAAAGGGATTTGTAGCAGGAATGGGTGTCACTTCATAAGTGAGTGAAACGCCAAGCAGGCGCGCGGCCATAAAAACACAAAACCACAACTAGCTGGAGGATCTCTGACCCTTATCAATTTTGGTATTAATTTCTTTAGTTCGATGAGATACTAAATTTGTTAGGATTCAGAAATCTTAAAGCAGGTTATGTCTTCGCGTTGTACCTTATAAGTGGCTGTATCCCCAACCACCAACCCCCCCCCCCATAAAGGGCTGTACCCCATAAGTGACACCCACAATCACCTCTCAAAATGCCAAATTGAGTTTAAAAAATTTAAATTAATTATAATTTTCTAGCATAGCAAATAAATATTTAAAAGAAAAAAGTGAATTAATTGAATTAGAACCAAAAAGTGTTTTAAATCCTTTAATTGCTCTTAGAGTTATCAAAAAATTAACAAAAACTTGGAAAGAAATTAAAAAAGAAATTGCATCAGATTTGGCTGAAAATTATTTAAAAAATATTTCAAATCAAAGAGAAACTCGTTTTCCTAATGAGGTGGGGATTTTTATTTTTTAATTAACGGATACGGATAATATCCGGATACCCACGGATATGGATACTGTTTTTAAAGAATCGTAGGATACGGATATCAACCTCACGGATATATCCGGATATGGACACCAAAATTCGTGTCCATAGGCATGCCTGGATTAATCACTAGATACCTCATCTCTCTCCCTTATTGATGCCTTTCATCAGGGCTGTGCGTCATGGCGTTTGGCGTTTGGCGTTTTGCGTTTTGGCGTTAATTTTGGCCGATTTTTGGCGTTTTGCGTTTGGCGTGATTTTCCGATTTTGGCGCGCCAAACGCCAAAAATATACACCCCTAATGATGGAAGTTTTTTAAAATAAATGGAGAAAGGGCTGATCGAAAAAGGAAATTTTTCTGCGTACAGTCATCCAAAATTCTCAAAATTTTTGCCTGCGGCGCATAAAAAATGAAGAAATCTACTGCTTGGACTTCCAAAATTTAAAAATTTACGCCTGCGGCGCTTAAAGGAGGAAGCCCTTATCTTAAACTAATAGATGGTAGAAATAAAACTTTAGTCCCGTCAATCGTTTACTCTCTTCATGACCTCTGTTATACTCACAACTCCCTTTATCCCTTCATATCCACCTTAATCTCAAGGAGTTCTATGAATTTCTTATTTTTAAAATTTTTTAAAGGATGAATTTCGGCTTCTTTGCCTCCAAAATTCTCAAAAATTTCGCTCCGGCGGTAAAAAAGGATGAATTCTGGCTTCTGGGAAGCTTGAAAATTCAAAAAATTTCGCCTGCGGCGCTAAAATGAGATGAACAGTGGGTTTTAAGTCTTTATAGTCTCTAAAAATTTTGGCGTTTGGCGTTTTGGCGTTGATTTTGGCCGATTTTTGGCGTTTGGCGTGTTTTTAAAATTTAAAAAATTGGCGTTTGGCGTTTGGCGCGCCACGCGAAAATTTTGGCGCACAGCCCTGCCTTTCATCATATAGCAAATAATAATTATTTAAAAAAGGATGATCTGAATGGAGCATTTGAAGGATTATTACGTTTACAAGATACTTACAATTTAAAAACTAAAGATTTGGCTAATGGAATTGTTGAGGATATTAATATAAACAAGCAAATGGATGGTTAGATTTTCCGATTATTAAATTATATCAAATAATTATGTAATTATTTTAGCAAAAGATTGTTATGATATAGGTCTTGCTGCATATAATAAAGAGGTTATTTTATAATTAAAATGATGATTAATTACAGTCGGACCTCAATTTTACATTAAAGAACCTACTTACATAACCTCAACTTAAGATTACTTTTTTTAAAATTCGGTTTGTTAGCATCCGAAACCGAAAAACCCCGGGTACGTGTAAATCATCATTTCGATTATCTGTTCCAGATACATGGATATCTGAAGAAAAGAATGAAATCTAATAGCATGGCCTTCTAAAATCCTTAAAACTTTCGCCTGCGGCACTGAAAAAGGAAGAAATACATATGTTTAATGAAGGCATTGTCGAAGAATTTTGCCATGATATCGAGAGATCAAGAGTGTTTGAGGGAAATATCGGCGGATTTTTAAGGATTAAGAGGATTTGGAAGGACCAGTATACACATTCTTAGGATATAGGACTTAGTCTTAATATATTTAATTTAAAAAAGGATTATTATCACTCAATATTATGGATGGAAGAAGCAAATGAACGTTATCATCTACAAAAAGAATTTACACAAATTAATCAATCAGATATTTTAAATATTTTGTCAATTTCTTTATATAAACAAGGAAATTTGAAGAGAGCTTTAATTATTAATGATAAATTAATTGAATTAGGTAATTGTTGAAAATTAAAATTAAATAAAAATATTTTCCCTTAAAAAAGATCCTTTATATCCAAATGCAACAAATAATTCAAAATTAATTGAACAAGAATTATTAGCTAATGGAGTTGTTGAGGAAGATTTTCGAACAAATATACCTCCATTAAATAATTATAGGATATCAAACGATCCTATCAGAGATTTTTATGATCATCAAGTTTATGAAGAACTTTGTCGTGGTGAAAAAGAAATTGTTTGTTGATTAGAATTATTTAAAATAATTCAGGCACCGGATTTTTTCCGGAGTCTGGGTTCAAAAAATTTTTTTTTGCATTTTCGAATTTTTCCTGGCCATATTACTCCAAAAAAATACGGTTGGATCTGGTCCGGCCAGAGTGGCCCTTTCCAAATCACCAAAAGGGGGCATAGCTTCCCAGAAAGAGGGCAAAAAAGGCATTAATTTTAAGACATAAAAATGATTCAAATTTCAAATAAAAGTCAGCTTTAACCAGATTTCTTCCCTTTTCAGCGCCGCAGGTGAAAACACCCTGGGTCCGGCTCAAGTTACAAAAAATCCGGAATCTGGGTCAGGATTAAAATATCAATTTTGCTCGGCATTAATAATTCTAATTAATTTTTTAGAATACAACAGAAATATCCCAGCTTTATTGTTATTACAAAATGGATCGTCCTTTCCTTCGTTTAGCCCCAATTAAAGTTGAAATAGTTCGATTTGAACCCTTAGCCGTTATATTTCGAAATGTTATTGGTGATGGAGAGATTAAAATAATGCAGAATTTATCCTTAAAAGAACTACATAGATCTATGTTTGAAGGCAAAATTTCCAACTTTAGAATCAGCAAAATGTTTTTTTAGATAATTAATTTTAATTTTATTTTTAATTTTTCAAAGTGCCTGGATTAACTCAGACACTCATCCCGTTGTTAAACAAATAGTTAATCGTGTAGAATTAATGACTAATTTAAATATGAAGTCAGCTGAACCTTTACAAGTAAAATAATAATTTTTAAAAAATTAAACAAATTTTGTAAAGGTGGCAAATTATGGAATTGGCGGACATTGTGAACACCATTATGATATTGTATGATTTAATTTTAGTCTATAACATTGATCTCAAAAAACAAATTTTCTCAAAAATAATACCACTTTAGTGGAATTGAAATAATTGCTCACATGAGTGTCCGTGTTCCTCAGTCCACGGTACCACATAGCAGAAATGGTGACAAGGGATGTGTCTCCAGGGATGGGTCGGGTCGAATTTCGGATCTGGTTTCTGAAAAGAAAAATTCGCTGTATCGGATTTCGGGTCATAAAAAGACCAGGTTTCGGGTAATCCGACCCATCCCTGCTGTCTACACAATTTCATCCTGAAATCCCATGGACATCACACATGTTATCAGCTCCTTTGTCAGCGTAATCAAGAAAGGTATTTAGTAGTGCCCAATATTCTTAAAGATTACCACAAGTACTAATAATTTTAATTCAAAAATATATTTCGCAGGATTCTGGAACTTTGAACGAATATAGAATTGCGACAGCTTTATTTTATTTAAGTACACCAGAAAAGGGAGGATATACAGTTTTTACTGATTTAAAAACAATTGCTAAACCAACAAAAAATGATGCAATATTTTGGTATAATTTGTGGAGAAGTGGAGATGGAGATTTGAGAACAATGTTTTTATAGATATATTCTATTAAATAATTTTATTCCTAACTCATTTAGGCATGCAGCCTGTCCTGTTTTGTTGGGTGATAAATGGGCCATGAATAGTTTTATACACGAAAGAGGGCAAGAATTTAGACGCCCGTGTGGTTTAGATCCTTCAATACAAGAACGTTATGTTGGTGATTTAGGAGGTCCAGAACCTAAAAAATATCCAAATATATCTCCATATTGTAAAGAGGGATTATATTGTGAATGAAAATGGAAATTTCTAAAAAAAATATTTGTGATTAACATAATTAAATTTTAAATATTTAAATTTTAATATTTGAACCGAATAAACAATATAAATAATTATTAGGGAGCGAAAAATCACTTTTCAGGGTCCGAAAATCGGATTCTGTATTTCACATTCATGCCTGACCAGATCCGGCCGGATTTAATCCTATCTTGTTTTAATCAGTTAAAAATAACCTCCGTAGTCCGCCAGAATTTAATCGGATTCCTGGATGAACTGGATAACAGGTGACTTGAGAGATTGGGAGGAAAAAAATTAGGAGATAGGTCGAAAAATTACGGTTAAATTTGGGCTCGGAGATCGCGAACCCAAACTCTGGGAAAATTCGGCGAAATCTGGTTTGAAGCCGGACACCAAGATTTAATATTTACAAAATTATTTTAATTAATGTAAAATCACTATTAATCTTTAGAAAATTTAAAATAAAATTTAAATTAAAAATTAAATTAAATTTCTCATCCGGTAGTTAAACATCGAAGCAAAATAAGTCCCAAGTTAACCCAAACACTCGCAATTAGCATGATCTTCAAAATCAAAATAATTATCTCTTAGCACAATTAAAAAATTACTTTTATTACTCCATCCCAACCCCCAACATCATCTGTTGGCCAAGGCCTCCGATGGAGTGCGCATAATTTGAAGGCATCCACTCTAGCTTCTAATAAATTGTTGAGGAAGGCACAGAGCGGTGCGAGAGGAAAAGCGGGTGAAAAAAGGAGTACATAACCTTTAATTTTATGAAAAATATTTTTTAAGACTCTCATAACTATCCAAATCGGGCCCTAATAAATGCAGAAAAACTGCAGAGCTATAATTTTGTTCAAAGGGATCGAATTCGGGCGCTCTGGCATGGTTCGAAGCAGCACAATGAGCTAAGGCGAACCGGCCCGAATTCGACAAAATGAGGTTATAGCTCTGCGGTACCTTGGGCTTGCGGACTTTGGCCTTCTCTCCTAATTTGCGGATAATACAAAACCTTATCTTAATTTTGAATCTGCTTTATTTTTGCATATCCCAATCTGCAACTTTCAGTAGCTCCAAGAATTAATAGTTTTATAAAGTTGGGGACCTTACTATAAGCTACCACAAATACATGTATATTTAAGATGCTTTTCTTAAATCGAATGGCATTGAATGATGGGAAAGCTGTTTAAGAGTTACCCTCAATTTAATAAACACCTCATTATAGGAAAAGATTCTTAACCGTGTATCTTATAGTGATTTAACCTAATTGAATAAACATCTCCAAATAATCATCCAAAGGCCGTCCATATTCTGATAATGCTGCTTGACGTTCCTCTTCACTAGGATTTTCTTCGTCAAAATTATTAGCTGCTTGATGTGCCCTCCAATGACTAACTTTACGCTTTGCCTCCAAATTCCGAATAAAGGCATATTGCATTAATCGTAATTCGCCATAAATTAGAGGAATTCCAATTTCAGTAAAATTTTGAACAAATTGGCGTGTAACGAGTAAAGTAGCTAAACTCTTGAAAGATGGAAATTATTTTTGAATTTAAAATCCAAATTTTTGCATCGGATCTCACTATAAGACCTATGGGCTGTTAAGATAGCAACCATGGTCTATATTAAGGGTGTACTTCAAATAGAGGGTATCGCTTTACTAGCCCTCCTTCACCCGCCATGTGGTATCTACCTGATTTAAAACATTTTTGTCTCTATTATTAAGCGTATCTTATAAAAGAGGTTTAACAATAAGGTTGGCGGATAGTTGAAGATCTTCGGGTACTGGTTCCAGTATCTGAACTGAAATTTTCCGAATATTCGGCCTTTTCCGGATCCGGATATCCAGATCCGCCAATCTTATTAAACAATACTTGTTGTAATCGTTTCCAATCGCCAAGCCAAAACGCAATATAAAATAAAGGACAAAAAGAACTAATAGATTGAAACAAAGCCAATCTCGCGACCAACAAAAAATCATTTTTCCTCTTCCCTCTAATCCATTCAATTTCAGCACAACGTCTATAAATATATTCGGCACCCATACAAATTAAAGCTTGTAAAACAACTGGGGCTAAACTTTTCCAATTAGAACTTCCAAAATTTTCTCTAGACCAATCTTGTAGTCTCAATAAAATTATTAGTGTTATTAATAAAGAAATTAAAGAAAAAATCTCCATAGGACGGCAAATATTTTTTAATAAATTTTGTCGAAATTTGAAATTATTTTGATGGTCTAAAGGCTCTTTATTTTGAATTAAGTGCTGTTTTTGAATTTTCCAACTGTAGAGGAATCCAATAGCCCATAAACAATTAAAAATTGCGAATATTATGAAGGCTAAAAATCCAAAATTTTTAGTTGTTGTTGAGGATGTTTGTAGATAAATTAGGGTTCCTTTAATTTAATTATTAATTACAGTTGATTCTGAAAAATTTTAAAACAGCCAATTTACAAAACTCAGAAATACAAATACACCGAATTTTTGAAATATTAATTAGGCAATGGGAGGGAGCAGGCTCGTTTTAAATGGGGGCCGGAGTTGAGCCAAGATTTGTTTGAAAAATGCCTACGCAAAATTGGCTTCATAAAATGCCTAATACATACATAGCATACGTGGTGAGAAAATACTTAAACAATACTCTTAAATTATCAACAAACTCAATTTTAGGCGAATTTATCAGTCAAGGGAATTGTATGTAAAATGCAGATCCGATCCTGTGTATTTAATTAATCTACCTATCAATGCCGGAGCAATCAAACATTTCGTATAATGTGCCAACCAAGCAAAATATAAACTAATTTCTGAACCAAAATATCCAGAAATTTGTTGAATGGGAGGATGTAAAAGTTCTGAAGGTGAAGAAAATACCCAATTAAGGAAAAGTTGGCTAAGATGATCAGGTTGATGCAATGGAATTAATGAATAGATGATTTTTGTTGATTTGGAGAGAAGGAATGGTACTGTAAAATTGGAGAAAATATTTGAAATATGTAAAATCTAAGCTTATGAATTTGGAGACAAACTTTTAAGCGTTCTTATTTACATTCATACAACCGAATTTCTCTATAGAATACCCCTAAGCAGGGCTGGACGCAACTGAAAAAAATTTCCGCGATTGCAGTCCGTAAGTCCAAAAAACCGCAGTATCACACAATCCGCAATTCGCAGTTGCGTCCAGCGTTGCCCTGAATACTATTATTTATGTAAAGCATATAGCTATTAATTTCCTAAAGCTGAGCAGTAGGCGGCGTGGTGTAATGGCTAACACATCAGTCCGGTCTACTGAAGATGCTGGTTCGCTCCCAGCCGCCGATTAACCTTTTGCACTAGCTAAAGGAGAGAAATAGCTATAGCCCAGCTGCTTTACTTTTAGTTTGGTTGCACATAGGCAGCAACTCTGATATTGGGTAGTGGGGCTGCCTAAACAATTCTTTCTAGTTAAGATACCCCTCATTATAGACACTAGTTTTACCCAAAATCTCAAATAAACAAACTTAAAAAAGTGCCAGTTGGAATGTTCAAAATAAATGGATGTTTATCAAAAATAAATTGAATTTGTTCCTCTTTATCAGTTTTTGCCTGCTCAAGTAGCCTTCTTATTTTAACTAATCTTTCAGTGGAATCATTTAAACTGATTGAAAAATTATTTAGAAAATCTGGAAGAAAATTAACCATTTATCATTTTTTAAACTAAAAGCTAATACATATCTTCGTCTTTTGTTTTGCTGGCGAGTATCCACATAAAGAGTTGGGAAATAATAAGTTAGCTAAAACTGGGGTGAAAATATTTAATTTTAAAATTTTTTTAAAATTTGGTGTAAAGGTATTTTACGGATTTTTTGCGGACTATCCTTGCGACCATTTTTATTAAATGAAATGAGGGTTTATAAGTCGAACCTAATTTTTAACTTGTGGAACTTTCCCACCTTATGGATAAGGTTGTCGGATCCAGATGTACGGATTCGAAAAAAGACCGGATATCCGGAAATTTTCGTTCGGATACCGATTTCGGATATCTGATGATTTCCATCTATCCGACAACCTTACCTGTGGAGGATGAGGGCTTCGTCTGAACACGAAGATTAACATGTCTTTTAGCAAATAGATCTTTTAGTCGGCAAAAATTGTCCGCAAATCTAATCCTTCTTTACAAATGCCAAAATTCCCAAACCATTTTTGCCAAGCTTTCCGCATCATTTCTAGCCATTTTCTTCGAGAGGATGGCCAATACAGTTTCATTTGAAGGTTCCAAAGTTTCAGGCAAATCCTCTGCCCATTTAATTATTTTTCTCATTTTTAACGAATTTTTGAAAGAATTTTAATCAAAATTCAGAGAAATATAAAAAAAAATTTCACATTCGATTAAATTAAAAATAAAAAATTCGTCAGGTGTATTTCGAGAGAAATGATTTTTTGGTCACCAAATAGATAAATTCATGTTCCTCATTTTAATTCTTTTTTTCTCTTAAATTTATTTGAAAGGGAAGGAAGAAAAAAGAATTTTTAAAATGAACAGTTGTAGAAAAAGGATTATTCACACACAAAACTAAAAATAGAAAGAATAAAAAATCAAAAGGATATACCTTAAAAAATTCTTTTGATCAAGTTTCAAAGTTAAAATAAATATCTAAAATTAATTTAAAATATAACAGAAAATACATATGTACCAGAGGTGTGTCGGAAATGACAAAGATGCCGGAAATCGGAACTGTCGGAAATCGGAAATGCCTCAAGCCGGAACCCGGAAGTTGGAAATTGGAATTCCGACCCAGTTCTGATATGTACACAATGAGCAAACTGAATATACATACGTGGAAATAATTATATACGAGTACATAGAAAAGGTCAGAATGCTTAACATTAGTTGACGCTGAAAAATGGATCAAGAATCTGTCGTTAGTTTTTGAATAAAAACTTAACTAAAATTAAGATATTGTAATTTTAAGAATTTTTAAGACTTTCTATTTAATATTCGAAGGATAGAATCAATCAGTGAGAAAAAAACTATCTTTAGTAGGGGAATAAACGGAATTGCACGAAAAACGGGCGTCTGATAATTACATATAAGCACCCCTTATAAACAAAAAAGTTCCGGTAAATTTGTTTTATTCAAAAACTAGGGGGGGGGGTGCTTATAATTTTCAGATATAGGTAGTTTACAATATATATTTGCTTTTAAATTTTATTTATTTTCTTCATTCTACCTTGTTTTACATAACAATTCTGACATAAATAATTTCCAGGTTCTGAATGTCGGTACCAATTACATGATTGTTCTTTACCGCAGGTATAACAGTGACGATCATGCTTAAGTGAAATTAAATATAACGTCTCCGCTCCGTTTTATTCGTATCAATCATATAAATTAAGAGAGATTATGAATTGTTTCTCGAAACTAAAAATTGCACCCTAAACCTTCTGCAAGAAATAGTTTAAATCCCACATGCACTAAATCCACCAAAAATTTGAAATTTCAGGAAAAACTTAATATTATATACATGCTCTTTTTAGTGCCGCATTTATAATGCCTGAATTTTTGGCTCACGACTTGTGAACACAAAACTTGAATAAAAGAATAAACTGTACATCTTATTTTTTCATTATCTGACGAAACATGATTGAACTGAAAAAGGCAAAGGAGATAAGGGACTAGCTGGATTTGGAAAGATTAAGATGGATTTCTTTGGATTAAGAGGGATTAAGGAACAGAAGACGTAAATCCCGTGTATCAGTGCACTCTTGGTCCACTTTATCCCCCAAATGTTTTATCTGACCTCCAGGGCCCGTTGACCTCTCGAGTTTTAACTTATAAACACCATGAAACAAACCTTTTTAGTATAAAACCACAGTTTCTTCGATCTATGCTTTCCATACTTTCGTTTATATTTGTCACAACGTTGGCACAAATATTGTCCATTCAGGTATCTATTCCAATCCGCAGTTTGTTTAACTTCACAATTGAAACAACTTCGTTTATTTCCTTCAATAATTTCACCTATAATAATTAGGAATCTTATTTTATTTAGTCAAATTAAGAGGTTAAGCTTAAAAAAACTATATTATACTTATTTTATTGCCAATGTAGATAATTCTGATTTTTAATTTTTCCGGATATTCAACTTTTTGTTTTTCTAACAATTCAATTTTATATCCAATTAAATTAATTTCCGTCCAATAACTTGATAAAAATGCGTTTTTATAATTTTCTATATTATCTTTTATGGATTCTTTTTCATTCGTTTTTATATCTTTTAAACTATTGTGTAAAATAGAGGTTTCATAAATATTCTTCTTTTCAATAAAATTATTATTTAACAGCACCTTAACTTTTTTATGTAATTAGTGCAAAGTTAACGCTGCGTTAAGGGGGGTTAAGTTAATATAAAGGCCAAAGTTAAAGCCTCTTTATATCATAAAGCTGAGTTTAAAATTCTTAGGATGTCAGAATTTGTTCAATATAAGGATAATTTAGTCTAGTCGACCGCATTTTAATGTATCATGGCAACTAGAAATATTTTTGCAAAGATGGATTTCAACTTCAAAAGGATTTATTGCACCCTACACCCCCCCCCCAGAAGTCGAGCGAATAAAAGGTACGCTCCAATGGGGTACAGCCCAAGTAGGCGCGTGGCCAGGTAGGCGCAAAGCCATAACTTGCTTTAAGATTTCCGAATATTACCAAATTTGGTATTAAACGATTCCTCTCATCCAGCTAAAGAGATGGTAACAAAATTGTTGAAGTCCAGAAATTTTCCAGCTAGTTATGGCTTTGCGCCTACCTGGCAGCGCGCCTACTTGGGCGTGTCCCGCTCCAATGTACCGCGAGGTTACTATCCTATCCATCAGACTAAATCATGAATCTAAAAGGGAATTAGGATAAAATCTGGATAATTTTTTAAAGTCTTAGAGAGGTTAAACTAAAGAGAGGTTTAACTGGGTTTAACTGAATATTTATGGGGATAAATATTTAAATTCTCTTAATATGAAATACCCGTTTTTCAAATTCCAGCAATATATTTTGAATAATTTCCCTATTAGCAATTTCGATCAAAACTTTCTTTTTTAATTGAACAGGTGCAATATCTTTCGATTCACCTATTATTCCAGCATTGAAAATATTTCTTTTATTGTTTAGTTTAATTGGACGCAAATATTCATTTATGTTAATCTTAAAGCTACTGCCATATTGGTTATTACATTTTTCAATTTTTTTCAATACAAAACGCTCCGTTTGTACAATGTTTTTTAAATAAATAAATTCTCTTTCTCCTTCCCAATCATCTTTGATTTTCACCCGAACATTAACTGATTTTGCTTCACTTTGAATAATCAACAGAATAATTAAATAGAATAAAGAAATAACAATTTTTATCATCTTAAATTTAGTTATGATAAGAATACATATTGTAAGGATCAAAGGTGTAATCCTTGAGAAACTATTGAAAACTATGAAAAGTTTAAAGGTGTAATTCTTGGGAAAGTGATAGAAACCCCGCCTAGAGAGAAGGTGTTTTAAACTAAAGGAAAATAAGGAAAAGCAGCTTAGTTGATGTTCATTCCAACTTAGTTCTTCATTAATCAATGGCCTAGTGTTCGGTCGGCTATAAGCCTGACCAAGTGGTTAACCAATAATCATTCACCCCGCTCGCTTGCACTACCTCTGGGTATTCTATTCAATTCTATTCTATTCATCGCACGCATAATCAACATCTCTCTTAATTAGGGCTGGCCCCTCTAATTAAATAATTTACTATATTATTAATTTTTTAATGTAGACTATTAAAGATTTCAAATTGAACCGAAGATTTTCAGTTCAGTTTGTCGGTTACGTTTTGGTTAACCGAAGAATTTTGTGAAACTGTGAAACAGTAAAGAGAATTGAGGAGACTTAACATCAAACAAAACAAAAATTTACTGTCTAATCATACGTAGAAGACCGAAACCGGAACTTACCACGCTTACCAAAACTGGAACTTACTATCACTTATACATCCGAAGACTCCCTTAGGGATAATATTTCTAAATAATAATTTATTTAATATCACAATAGTAACAGAAGTATTTTCGCATTATGGTCTGTCTTAATTTGTAACATGAAAAGGAGCAAATTTTTCGTTCGGATATGGGTTCCAAATTTGGGTATCCAAAGATTTCTCTTGACCCTCCTACCATATTTATGACTATTTTATATTGTTAGTAAGCAAAGAGGGTTATTTTGTTTATTTATTACCCCAATTATGAATTTTTAATATTTATTTATTATTAAAAAGTGGTCTTAATATATAGAGCTGACTAAAAATTAAATAGGCACAAAATGGTATAGACTAACAAGTAAGAAATTGAGCTTTAGTAAGCATTGGACTAAAAGTGCAAATATAAAAATAAGGAAAAAATTTAACTTTCTTTGATGTTTTTAAGAAATAATAAAGAAATCGAACAAATTTGAACAAAAATTTTTTATATTTTATTTAAAATTAATTTTTAATTTATTTTTAATATCGGTAATTTGGGCAGACGGATTTACCTGCTTCATTTTAAAAACGTCTTAAAATCCAAAAAATTTGGTCAGTGTTTGTTCCATGCATTAATTATTTTGGGGAAATAAAAAAAGAAAATTTTTAGTCAATGCTCAGTGGCAATTTTATATTTTCTAAAAATTATTTTAATAAAATTATTTTTAATAGAAAACAGCTACATAAAAATAAAGTTTTAGACACTGATGCCATTTTCTTTTTTTTCTATATTAAGGATGGCGGTTCCTTGGAGATTCCCGGATCCGGGATCGGTATCCGAACCGAAATTTTCCGAATATTCGAGGTTTTTTCGGTCCCGGATACACGGAACCGCCAACCTTATTCCACTTCGATTAAATACAACTTTTAACGTGTTATGTTAATTAATTAAATAAAATTAGCCTTAAAAATCCTTTGAATCAAAAATATCGGTAACAGAAAAAAATAACTTTTTTATTCAATATTTTCCTTTTACCCAATTCCCAAAAGACTCATTTTAGGGCATCTGTCAAAGATTTATATTTTTTTAAAAATAAAAGGAAAAGATTTGTTTTGTTAAAAAAAAGAATTTTTGTTTTTGTCCAACTTTGCTCTTTCTCTACTTTTTTTAATTTTACTGGCATTTCCTTAAATATATTTTTATTTTTGGATATTTCCTCAAAAATTAATTTATTGAAGTTTATTGAAGAAATATTTTTTTAAAAATTTTAATTTTCAAATTGCGAGATTTATTTTTAAATTTATTATAATTTTTGGATTATTTCGAAGATTAAATTTGCTTACAAAAGAAATTAATTTGAAAAATTTTCTTGGAAGACTGGAAAAAATATAAAATTCTAAATAGAAAAAGATGACTCTTAAATTAAAGTAATTTTTCATAATTTTCTATAAATTCTGATCAATGAAATTTTATTTTTATTTTCATATCTATGATATCACATTCAAAACTCGGTTTTAAGTAACATTTGTACCACTTACCGTATTTTCCCAATAGAAGCGCATACACTTCTATTTTTTAACCTCCTCGTAGACTGCGCTTCTAATGGGACCTGCGCTTGTATTTATCAACTTCTGTACGAATTAATTTTTATAACATTATAGAAATTTAAAACAAAAATTAAATCTTTATAGAATTATCACTTTACTTCCATTTTCATTTCTTCATTAAGAAAAACTTCTGCCAAAATTTCTGAAATTTCTTTAAAAATCGTGACTAAAGTGGCGGATATTTAAGACGAAGTCAAAAAGTGAAAACTAAAATTAGGGGCTTTAAAACCAAAATTCGACTATTTTATAAAAGATTCACATTTATTTACAAGGTATTTTGATGAAATTTCTGATTCCATCAAAATTACAAATCCCCCACCCATTCTGGTCTATAATGATGCACAATTAGCTATTACAGGTAAAATAATTATTTTTTTTATATTTTTTTCATTAATTTTAATTTTAAAGACATTCACCTTTTAACTAATTCAACAGACAAAAATAAAAATAATTTAAATAAAAAACACTTATTTTATGCTAAATTGAGTTGTTCTGGTTCTGATAATAGAATATACAGGACAGAGTATTCAAAGGAGGCAAAATGGAATAATTTGGTTTTTTAAGGATTTTTAAAAAATTAAAGAAAATTTTTACTAGAATTTCCTCTTCCCAGCAGACAAGTCGTCTGAACTTAAAATCCGTCTAAAAATTAATTTTGGAGGATCAAAGCTTTTCTGGGCACCTAGAAGTAGCAGTCGAAAACTGATTGGAGAAGCTAATATTCCTTTCGTAATTACATATTTTTAAACTGAAAAATAAAAAATTATACAGTCGAGCCTCATTATAAGGCACACGCAACACAGTTTAATTTTTTTAATATACACACAAACATTTTATAAACATTTTTTGAATTTATTTGGTTAAATGAGGGAAGCTCTCTAGGCGATACCCTCAAACCTATATACATAGCTTTCGTTGTACCATATGTTTGCCAGTTTCGCGTTTTGTCTACAACCTTTCGTTTTTTGAAAACGATTTTTCAATTCAAGAGGGTTAAAGTTATCTAGGTACGAGATAACTTTAAGTTGAGATACGGTTATTTAAACTTTGATGGCTATTACTATAGGTGAGGGGAGCTGCATAAACAATGCTTCCAATTTAAAGAACACCTCATTATAAGCAGTTTTTTCTGACTAAGTGGGGTCCGACTGTAGTTAGGTTCTACTGTATTTTTTGCATTAGTATTTGTTATTTTTAAATAGCTAGAAATGTTGGAACGAACTTCTGTTGATGGAAATTGGTATTTTTTAAATTTTCATGAAAAAATTCTGTCTAGATTTCAAATAATTTTTTTTTATTTTTCCATTATTTTATTTATGTAACTCAAACGAATGTTAAAAAAATATTTTTATCAAAATTTAAATAAAAATATATCTTGTTCAGCCATCATTTCGCCTTTTTACTACGTCCCCATTTTCAAAAAATGGTGGTGAAGTGCAAACTTATCCCTCCGGTAAAGCAACCACTTGTTGGTATGTTTAAAAATATTTTTTTAATGTCAATCATCTTTTATCAATCATTTTTGACTTTTTTTTTATTTTTTTTCTAGTTGAAAGTTTTTTTCACAATAAAAATATTTTCACATTGTTCCGGAACTAAATCCTTATAATCGCCCAAACGTCTATTGGGTCATGTACATATTTTGAAAATAGGTACATCAAAATTTCCATAGCAGGGATGTCTCGGGTTACTCGATACCCGAAACTCGACCCGTTGAAAATTTTGAGAACCCGACCCGAAATCCGAATCGACTTTTTTCTCGACCCGACACATCCCTGTTCCATACCTATATTTAATTTATCTAGAAAGCCGGTGGGGATACGCAACATTTATCTCAGCCCAGCATCTTATTTTGTATGTCTGCACAGCATAAATGTGCCGAGTTACTCGAAACCTGGACCTTGTTACTGATGTGCTTATAACAAATTCGCTCCACCAAAATTTTTTAATTTACTACCTAGTATCTTACTTTTTCAGAAACATTAACAACATTGGGATATTCCAATCTAAATAAAAATTATCTAACTTCAACTTCCTCTTATTCTTCACCCACAGAAAAACCCTCATCTATTTCTTCAAGTAATTATTCAATTGATAACAATAATAACACCAAAATTAACTCAAAAATGGAAAAGTGTTTAGCAAAGTAATTTAGTTGTCGGGTCTCGCTTTAGTGTCACCTCTCGACAAGAAAAAATCTGTCTGAGATCCAAGTGTGGTGGCTAGGATAGTTCCCCGTCAAGGGGGTAGAGCCACTGGGGAATGGGGACGGAGAAAATGGGCAGACGGGGAACAACTCGGTAAAAGTCCAGCTCGCCATCTACATATATGTCCGCAAAAGGCATTTCTTCAAAATCAACCAATTAAAGGCAATAAAGCAAGGGAGGAGGATACAGCAAAAATGATTTTTACTATATGCCTTTGCGGACATATACATAGATAGCGAGCAGGACTTTTGCCGAACAAACTTGTTTGACACTATAATGATGTCCTATTGTATCAATTTAAAGAAATTTTTTAATTCATTTTTTAAAGTTCACCACCCTCAAATTCAATGTCCGCCTCTACTTCCTCTTCTGATAATTTTAGCAAATTACCTAAAGGATGGGAAATGCGAGTAGATGGACAAGGAAGAATTTTCTATATTGAGTTTATTGTTATATTTTTTAATTAAAAATATTAATACAAAATTATAGCCACATTCGTCAAAAGACAGCTTGGACACCTCCAGTAAATTTTTTATTTTTCTTCAATATTCAGGCACAATAGATATTAAAGGTTCCTATACCACACTAATGGGACAAAAAATATGACATTAAAATGAGAGCTACATATCGTATCTACTTTTCAATTTTCCTCCCTCAGATAATTATTACTCCCCCCTTCCCAGATATACATAGATGGAAAATCTCACCTAAAATTTTTCAGAAAATATTTTTAATTTATTTTTACAAATAGTGTATTTTGGAAGCACTTGAAGAATCTGAATATTTTAATAAAAATTGTGAAAATATTTGTGACGAAAATCGTTTTATCAGACAAACAATGGAATTTTCTAAGTATAATACTAACAATAATTTAACTATTCATCAAACACCAAAACAAATGGCTCTAAATATTTTGCTTAGCAAGGAATTGTTTAACCGCCTTCTACATTCAAATAATGTAAGTCAGAATCGAGATATACTGAATATCTCGATATTGAATTTTTCGGATACGGATATCTGGATCCTAACTTTATAAGAATGGAAATTATTTTTATGCGACTAAAGTTAAAGTTTATATTTTTTTTATTTTTCCAAGTTTGCTTATGAATTGTATAATGAAAGCCGTATTTTAAAACATATTATACAAAGAATACGTCGAGAACCAGAAAAATTCTCTCAATTTGAACAAAATAGAGAATTAGTAAAGTAAGTTTATTTTTCATTTTGAGAGGAAATATAAAGTAATGGAGGGTAGAGCAAATCGAGACCGATCACTCAAGCACGAACGTATAGAATTTTGATAGACTCAGACTCGCTTCAGATTTTGATCATTCCTTTAATATTCAGAACTCGACGCACTTTTGGGTAAAGGATACCAGCTAATACATCGCTAGCTTTTTTATTCTCACCGGTATTGGAATCATTATAACAGAAAATTCATAAGAGCGAAATCGAAATTTCCCAACAGACTTAACCTTCAATATTCTTTAATTTTCAAGTTTTATCAACTCATTCACTGATCGAACACAGCCCTTACCTGCTGGATGGCAATTAACTAAACAAGCAAATAGTCCAATGCCTCAAATACTTTTTGTGGACCATATTGGAAAAAATATTACACCTTTTGATCCCAGACTGGCATTTATTTGTTTAAATTACAAGAAAGGTGCTAGACAAGAAAAGCCAAATTCCTGCCGAAGTGCGCCTCCCTTGCGACGTTTAAAGTAGGTACACCAGCAAAGATAATTTCAATATAGGACCATTGGTCGGTCGGTAATACGAAGGTGCGGAAATCGGAAATCATTGAAGATTCTCGGAGATTAGAAGGCCAAACGACCTCTGAGGGTTGTGGGAAAAGAGGGATGTGGGTTAGTAATCATCGAGTTCTGGGTCGATTTTTTCCTGATAAGGATTAACCCTAAGAGAACCAATTAAATTTTCCAGGTTCCCCTACATAATTTGCTTAGATTGAATGGGGAAGGCTTGTTTAAGAAACACCTCTATAAGACACAATTTTTTCAGTCCCAAGGGGATTATTTAAAAATGAGATCCTACTATTTAATTTTATTAAATAATTTTATAATATACAGTAAAAATACTACAACAACAACAAGCTTTTTTGGAAACAATATAACAAATTCCCCGAGAATACAAAATCAAAGACGCTCTCAACAAATAAATAATGATCGGCTGTCTTTTGATGAAACTGTTTTAGGTCAACTTGAAAAAGTATTAAATGAGCATTACAATCCTCAAATGGCTCAAAAAGTTAATAAATATTTTATACCCTAACTATAACCCTAAAAACCCCTTAAAAATAATTTTTATAGATAAAAACCAAACTTCGATTAATCGCTAATTCGGGAGATAGAGCATTACTGCGCTATGCTAACGATGTTGACGTAGCTCGAGCACTAAGTCTATTAGATCAATTAAATGATAAAATATTGAAAAATAATGAAGAGCAAAATGAAAATGATGAAAAGAATTTAAATGAAAGATTTTTAAAGGTTATAGAAAGTTTTCATGAAAAGCTGAAACAATTGGGTTATGCAAAAAGCCAAAACCGATTGAGGTAATTTCTAATTTATTGTGGTTATTATTTATGTAATTGGGATTGAGCTCAAAACAGTGTTAGGTCTTTAATAGAACGGTTGACGATCCTGGATATCCTTATCCGAAAAAATGGATATTCCGAGATTTTGTTTCAGATAAGAGTTCCGATCCAGATATCCGAAGACTCCGGGCTTCTCCAGCCCTAATCCAAAAAATGGTCTTTTGTTACATGTTTTATATATCATTCGAAAGCTTAATTCAGTTTGACATATATCAACATTTCTCCCCGAAAATCCGAGTCAATGAGATACGCGTGGGTAAGCTGGAACAAGTTGAATGTAACAGATATGATTTGGCTAAATATTTTTGAGAGAATTAATTGGAGGAGAAATTAATTCATTTAAATTATTATAGGTTTCGTTTAAGAAGAGATAACTTGATGGAAGATGCTTTCCAAAAAATTCTTTGTTTAAGTCCAACAAAATTACGAACATATCAATTAATGGTTGATAATTAATTTTTGAAAATCTTTCATTTTAAATTTTTTAGGTAAATTTTGCAGAAGAGGATTGTTTAGATTATGGGGGCCCTTCAAAAGAATTATTTTTCCTTTTATCAAAACAACTTTTTAATCCAAAAAATGGTCTTTTTGAATATACTAGTATTAATTCTAATAGAATACAAGTAAATTAATTATTTAAATAGCTAACTAATAAAACTAAATAACTAAACTAATAAAACTACTTTTGTTAAAAGTTAAACTGAAGTGATATTTACCGTATATTCTTAAACCTTCTCTCAATTACGTTCGAAAGATTCAAACAAAATTGCCTAGTATAACTATTTGAGCAGTGAAGTTGGCGGATAGTTGGAAATCTTTGGATATCCGGATCCAGTATCCTAACTGTAAATTTCCGGATATCCTGCCTTTTTTCGAATCCGGATCCGTCAACCTTATTGAGCAGTGGATTTTTGACACTCTCTAGTTTATGTCCAGCTTTTCTAAGTTGATTGACTACTAGATGGAACATCTAAGGGAAGAGATGTTTCATATGTTTTTTCTTATCCCAATTGAGTACATGCAATTAGTAACCACCGATTTTCTTTAATAAAATTTTTTTGATTTTTGCTCAAAAAACCAGAAATTTTAGGTTTTAAAAATTTTTAAAAATTAAATCCTAATATTAAAATTAAAAAAATATCACTTAAATATAGATCAGCCCAATGTCCAAATTTATTGATAATTATCTTAGTTGGATGGAATTGTGTGGTAGAGTGTTGGGATTAGCTTTATTGGTATCTTCTATGATTTTAACGTTTTTCAAAAAAAAATTTTGTTTTTCAATTTTTAAAGCATCGTTGCCTTTTGGATTGTTTCTTTACAAAACCTTTTTATAAAATTTTGGCAAAAATGTTTTTTTAATTATTTAAAAATAAAATTTTTTTTTTGAATTTTTTAGCCCTTTAGAATTAAACGATCTTTTAGAAACGGATAATGAATTATTTAATTCTCTCAATTGGATAAACAAAAATTCTGTAAATGTTGAAAATTTAGAATTAAATTTTTGTGTAACAGAAGAAGTGGCTGGAGAAGTAGTTTAATTTTAATAAAAAAATTTTTTTAAAGTTTTCTCAGAAACAAAATTTTATTTTTGTTGGGTATCGAAAGTAGAGAGCTTTTTTAGATTTAAAAAATATTTCGTTTAACCCTTAAAATTTATTTTATCGGAGGAGACGAGTTTGAGGATAATTCTTAATGTTATTGGACCTCAACTTTCTTTTCACCCTAAAAAATAAATTTATAATAATTTATTTTCACGAATAAAGGAAGGAGTAAATTATGTGAGTTAAGTTGTCAATAAGTTAAGTTTCAAGAGTAACTAACTCCTGTCTTAAAGTAAGTATAAAGCAATATTTAGTACATTAGTCTAAATATCCAAGAATAAAGCAAAAGTTTGAATGGCATTGGGGTAGCTTTCAGAAGTAGGGTTTTTGCCATATCAACCAGACCTGATGATAAACTGATGACCTAACCGGTCTTTAAATTTTCTTTTGAATACCGATTTAAGCCTAAATTTTGTTTTTAAAAAATCAATTTTTAAATTTATTAATACTTTTTTAAAAGATCTCTGATTTCGAATTACTTCCAAACGGCAAAAATATATTTGTAAATAATGAAAACAAAAAGAAATTTATTGAATTAATTATTTTATGGCGGTTAATTTATTTTAATTATTTTGAAATTAAAAATTTTAAGTGTTGAAAGGGGTATTCGAGACCAATTAAAAGCTCTCCTATTTGGATTAAACGCGGTCAGAAAAATTTTTTGAAAATTTTTAAAAATAATTTTAGGTAATTGACCAATCATTATTAACTGTTTTTGACGCTGAACAGTTGGAATTTGCAATTTCTGGGAATATTTTTATTGATATTGAGGATTGGGAGAAAAATACTGTTTATAAGGGAGGATATAGAGAAAATCATGTAATTAATAAATTTTTTAAATCAAAATCAGACTTTATCCCGCTTCTCAGAAGTTTTAATTTAAATATACCGTATTTACTCTAATAATCCCCCAGTCCTTTATTAATTCCCCAGTCTCTATTAATTCCCCACTCTAGAAATGGGTTGAAACAATAATCCCCCTGGGGGATTACTAGAGAAAATACGGTATGTACACATCAGGGATCTTGCCGACAAAAAATTAAATTCATGATTTCGAGAATGCGCGATCCTGCCCCAAAAAACGTCGGGAATTCCCGATCCTTTGTACATATGTAAATACAACATATCAGGGATGTGATAGCTTTCGTCCTCCTCCCACTTTCGCTTCTTTGGCCCTACGTCTTTCGACTTCCGTTTTTGTTTTCTTTTGTTTTTTTCGCCTTCTGTCTTCAATTTTTAATAATGTGGAAGGGCCCATCCATGATACACAAAATCCCCTGAAATTTCATAAATCAAGGGGAACATAATAGTGATTTTTTGGGTTGGAAAGAATTGCACAATTTATGATTTATAGAAAATTGTTTTAAAAATTATTTTTACTTTAAGGTAATTATTCGTTGGTTTTGGCAATGTGTTAGACAAATGTGTAATGCTGACAGGCTTAAACTTTTACAATTTGTAACTGGAAGTGCCAGTGTTCCCTTTGAAGGATTTAAAGGATTGAGAGGTTCAAATGGGTTGAAACCTTTTTGTATTGAACGTTGGGGAAATGAAGTTTGAAATTTTGATAGAAAATTAAAATAAAAAAATTTATTTAGGAAAGTCTCCCTCGCGCCCATACATGTTTTAATCGTTTAGATTTGCCTGCTTATTCTAATAAACAAAAAATGTTTTCGAAAATTATGGTAAAAATACATATTTTATTAAAAAAATAATTATTTTCTTATTGCAGTTGGCTATTTCAGAAAGCTCATATTATGCGATTGAATAGAAATTTTTTATAAAATATTTTTCCTTACCCATATTTTAAATTTTTATCTAAATTTATTATATAAATAAATAATTTGTAGAATAATGTCATTATTGCTGGTGTTTACTGTTCCGTTTTTTATCATGATCTATTTTTAATGAACATATTGGAGGTGTTGAAAAAATATGATCATTTAAATAAGTAAGATCATTAATACATAAATTATTTAGTTGTGGTTAATTAAACAAAAAAGATTGAAGCAAAGAAAACCTCTGGATTCGGAGCAGGGCAGTCAAAACTGAGCAAATTCAGAGGCTATAAGTTTCCGGAGACATACCCCCCCTCAAGTTAATGAACTACTAGCCGTCTATATGAGAACATAGCCCTCCTGTCATTTTTATACACATATTTCGGGAACCTCTCTGAGCTCAGGAACCTTCTTAAAATTCCTGTTCTTAATTCTAATCACGGACTTAAAATTTTTTTAGTGCTCACAATTTTGCACAAATATTAAAAAAACCCTCGCCAATGCAGCAAAATTGATATCCAATCAGGAATAACGCTTTTGAAGAAATGTTCTATAGATCAGACGCTTTTTTACAATAATTGTTTTTCTGTTCTAAGCAAAAACATAATCAAGTTAACATTTAACAATTCCATAACCTCTAGATAGAACTATATTTAAAAAAATATAAGGTCATAGTTAAATTCATTTAAACTTAAAGTTTAATCATTTTTATTTTAAAATAAAATAAAAGAAATGCCGCAATCATAAAATTACATCATATGAAAAGTGCACTTTTTGTAAACAAAAAGTGCAAAAATATTTGGCAAAACTCGAGTCTAATTATATTGAAATAATTGTTTTTAATTTGAGTTAATGTGCTATTTTTCACATGAATTTAATTAAAGAAAAAAATATTTCTCAATTAAATGCTAGGCAGTAAAAAAAGTTGATTAAATTCACATGAAAAAACATTAACATAGCTAAATTAAAAACAATTATTTCAATATAATTAGACTCGAGTTGCCCTTTTCGGTAGTGCGAAACTTGCGGACCGACTTTTGCGGACCATAGGTTTAGGTTTTTTGTTTTTCTATCGTAACTTTGTCCAAGCTTGTACAATCACGATGATTTTGATAATATTCGACTCAGCTCGTCGAGCTCTTTTGAATGAGCTATGTTTTGAGACATTCGTCGGGTCCGCAAGTTTCGGTCCGCAAAAGTCGGTCCGCAAGTTTCGGTCCGCAAAAGTCGGTCCGCAAGTTTCGGTCCGCAAAAGTCGGTCCGCAAGTTTCGGTCCGCAAAAGTCGGTCCGCAAGTTTCGGTCCGCAAAAGTCGGTCCGCAAGTTTCGGTCCGCAAAAGTCGGTCCGCAAGTTTCGGTCCGCAAAAGTCGGTCCGCAAGTTTCGGTCCGCAAAAGTCGGTCCGCAAGTTTCGGTCCGCAAAAGTCGGTCCGCAAGTTTCGGTCCGCAAAAGTCGGTCCGCAAGTTTCGGCCTGCCTCAAAGAAAAATATATTTCTCAATATTATTACTAAAGGTCAAAAAAAAGTCACTTATAAAACAGACCTTTCATTAAGCTTTAAATAATTAAAAAAAATTTTTTCATTAAACAAAATTAAAAAAATAATTTTTTGTCAAATGTTTTTAATTAAATTTTTATTTTTTAATCAAATATTATTTTTAATATTTACTTTTTGTTTTTCTGATTATAAAAATAATCAACGAATTTTGGTTGAATCCACAGAAAATAACAAAAACGAGGATAATAGTCCTAAAATAAAATTATTGAGAATGGAATTGTATGAAGTAGAGGAAGAAAGAGTAAATTATAAAATTGAAATTTTACTTGAAGTTAATGAAAAAAATTTAGGCGATAAAATTTTTGTAAATCCAGAATTTTACAATTTCGATATTCCTCCAAACATTATAAAGGTTGTTAATACAGGCGAAGATAGGAACAAATTTGTGATAATTGTGAATGATCGTTATGGAGAATACAGATGGGGATTAACAGTTTGGGTAAAATATGTGAATAACAATAATATAAATATTAAAACGGTTAATAATTTTAAATTATTTTTATTGTGGATGAATTTTGGAATATATATATAGTGGTTTTTAGAGTTCCGTTTGTTTTTACCCCTCCCACAAGGTCTCCGCGGAAAAAATTTTCGCCGCTGCGGAGGAAGCCGGGCATGTCGAGCGGAACGACGGCCGCCGCTTCGTTACAGTCGCCGCGAGCGAAGCGAGCACGACCGCAGCGAAGCACGGCCATCGTGTAGCGAAGACCACAAAAACAGTTTTTTCAGCGAAGATTCCGTTGGTCATAACTTTGTTCATCCAATCGAGTTGATTTTGGTGTCATTCGACTCAGCTCGACGAGCTCTTTCGAATGAGCGTCATTTGCATATTCGAATTTTTCACCCCAAAAAAGTGCTTGGTCCCACCTATGGTTTTTCGATTTTCGGGGGTCTGTATCTCTGCGAGTTTTTCTCTCCCGCAGAAAATTCTTGCATATTTGAACTAGAGTTGGACAAGTCGAGATCGATATCGATATATCGGTCTCGAATATCGGTCTTTTTCCAATATCGATATCGGTTTTATAGATATCGATCTCGAGATCGATACCGATATATCGACCCAAATATCGACCGATATCGATATTAACTTTACACCCCTAAAGATTGCTTTTTTTTCTAAGAAATGGAAGAAATCTGGCCACTTGCCCTTCCAAAATATAAAAATTTTCGCCTGCGGCGCTGTAAAAGAAAGAAAAAACCTTAACTTTAGGAATTGCCTTAACTTTTCCTAATCCCTAGATCTGGAAATATGGCGGATATTTTAAATGGGGGATATCGAGCTTCTTGGCCTTACGAAATTATCAAAAATTTGCTTGCACCGCTGTAAGTAGGATCGTCACTGAAAGTATGATCGCTGTAAGTATGATCGTCGCTGTAAGTAGGATTTATCATCCTCTAGGATCGTCACGGGTTGAGATAAAAATCCGAAATAAACTATTTAGGTGTAACAAATGATACATGGGATTTGGGAAGATTAGAATGGATATCAAGCGAAGATTTTGAGTCAGGGTCCTGGTCTCCGTGGATTTCAGTTCGTATTGGATCCGGATAAGGTGTATTTCGAATATGGGATTCGCATGGTGCAGTGTGATTTCTCCAGTATACGATTTAGGCAGTGAAGATTTTCGGGTTAAGTATCTTCCAAAAATTTCAAGGCGCTAAAAAAAGAAGATTTTTGGAGTGTTGCGCCGGTAGTTCCGGTTCCGGTAGACCAGAAGTTCCGGGATTTTTTGTTAAACATTTTTCTCTGTTCTCGTTAGTATTAAGGTTAGTATTATTATTTCAACGAATTTTCTGGATTTGAGGGGTAATAAAAAATTTTTTTAAATATTGGTTAATATCGAATATCGATCTCGATATCGACTCAAAACTTGCATATCGATATCGATCTCGACCATGTCAATATCGACCAATATCGATATCGGTTTTCTCCTAAAATATCGATATCGTCCAACTCTAATTTGAACTCAGCTCGGTGAGACGAATCGAATGGTATATACTACGATTTCCGATATCGGTGGGCCTATACTAAAGCGACCTTTTCCTATCTCTAGTATGTATTATTTTTTAGAAATTAATGACATTGCTACCTATATTTAAAGCACAAATCGAATTGGACGCAAATCAACTGTCAGTTGAAGAAATTCCAAGTACTTATTTTTATAAATTTAAATATATAGACATAAACGGAGTGAAAACAAGATTAGAAACTAAAGTACAAAGCAATTATAAATTGTCAAGATTAATATGTTTTTTGAATTTGGAAGGAACTAGGAAAATTTTAAAAGGAGAAAAGTTCAGACAAATTAATTTAATAGAGCCATTTGCCTTAACTAGTAATAAATATCGAAGGGAAATGGAATATTCTCACATTGAAATTTGCGTAAAATTTGAAAATACGGGCAATTATTTTGTAATTATTGCGAATCCATCCAATGCCGGCTTTATTCAATTCTACGTTAAAATTGGAAAGGAAAATGAGGAAAAATGTGTGTTCAAAAATTTCAAGAAAATGGATGTTGTGGAGAAAAAAATGTTAGAAAATTTAAGACGTTCCCTATCAATTTTCGTAACTAAAATAGAAATTGATGATATTGAAGATGGTCAAATGAGTGTTCATAATGAATGGATGTCAATTGATTGTATAATGTATGACTTAATTGCTTCAATTAAACCATATCTAAATGAAGGGATTTATGAATTTTATTTAGACAAGGAAGGAATAACTAGAGAAGTTGAAAGAATGGATGATTCGAATAACGAGATATTTAATTTCAGTAAATAAAAAACAGAAAATTTACGATAAAGTACATGTTGAATAGTGAAAAATTAAATGAGAAACATTTTTTAATTGTTTGGGTTCGCTGTCATAAACTTTATTTTTTTTATAAAACCGAATCCTCGATTTTCGTCTGTATCTGTAAAAAGTTATGTCATTTTGATAGGTGGGTCGGAACAGTCAGAGGTGTCGGAAATCGGAAGGGCCGGAAATCGGAACTGGCTCAAAAGTCGGAACTCGGAAATCAGAATTTTTTTCGGAAATCGGAAGGAAAACCCCGTCGGAAATCGGAATTCCGAACCATCACTGGTACCTACTATGGCATTTAAACCAGAGTTTCGATCTCGAATTTTTAAAAATCCGCATTTGTGATCAAAAATCCGCAAAAATTATCAAACACAAAAATTTAATTAAAATTTAAAAAAAATATTGGAAAATCTTTGAGCCAAAAATCTTACGTTTTAAGCGCCTCAGGCAAAAATTTTGAGGAATTTGGAAGGTTAAAGCGTAAAATAATTACATTTTATCCTAACTACAAGAATCCTCATCGCCTCATCAAAAAACCACAAAATGAGGAAAAATCCGCAGATATCGAAACCCTGATTTAAACAGTAACAAAAAAGATGAGGTAATACATTTACAAGAATACAATTTATATA